ACCTGGCCTTGAACACCTCCAGGGACATGGCATCCACAGCCTCTATGGGCAGCCTATTCCAGCATCTCACCACTCTCCGTAAAGAACTTCCTTCTGACATCCAATCTGAATCTGCCCTCCTTTAGTTTAAAACAATCCCCCCTTGTCCTGTCACTGTCTACCCATGTAAAAAGCTGACACAAACCAGTAATAAGTAGAGTGATCTTCTAACTCATGAAAATTAAGGTTATGAGGAAGGAAAAGAAGTTGATTTCTTGTGTTTCTTTACTTTTTTGTGGGTTGATATGTAGCTTCTGTTGATTTTACACCAGGAAACATTTGATCGTTTCCATGAAATATTGATCCACTTCCATGGGAGCTGTGAAAGATATAACAGGTCTTTGAGGAGCTTTTTTTGTCTCATTAACACGCATTGTATCTGAGCCTAAAAGTTAACAAATACAGAGATGGCTTCTGTGACTGTTAATTAGATAGATCTAATCTGTCTGTATAGGAAGCCAGTTTGTGCTTTAATTATATATGCACCCCCTCAAAATAATTGTCTGAGTTTCCTAGGGATGTTGTAGAACTGCCGTATTAATTAGCAGCTGAATGTTAGACTCAAGTAAGTGCTTAATGTGGGCTAACTGGATCTTATCAATAGACTGTCTGCTTCTCATCTTAAGTAACAGCTGCAGACCTGGTGCATCTGGATTTCCACAGTGCGCCAGAAGCACATTCTTTGCTGAATACCACCACTCTCCATACACAGTCTGGATTTGGGGAAGCATCTTGTGGTGTTTTATCTCCACTATTCAGGACTCATTGGAGTAGCATGGCCGTTCATACAGGATAACAGGCTTTCTTGTATTTTGTGCCTGTTTCAACAAAGCAACGTTTCAGCTTAGCAGCAAAGACAAGGCTGTCATTCCTAATGCTTACCAGTTTTGTGGGATTTCACTTCACAGCATTACAACATCAGCTTTTCAAATGAATAGCACTGCTTGTGATGAAGTATTTCAGAGAAAACGTGTTTTGAAGCTTGCTTTCCCTTTACTTGGAAGGCGTGCATGTTGCAGACATAAAATCAAAGCAGTGTATTAGAAATTTGATTGAAGACTGCAAAAAAAAACTTCTCAAGAAAAGACTCAACCCACTTTGTGTCATGTTAAATAACTTATGTCAGTGGCACATTGAAGTCCAACAATATCGTAATTGAGCGCTTAATAGGAAGAGTATTTTATTGCTGACAGAATACAACTTTTTGAATTACTCCCGCAGGTGGAAGGATTTTATAAAGATATACTTCTTTCACTCTATTAGCTGAATTAAATTATAATTGCAAATACATTTTTTTTTTATCGTAGGCTCAATTTCAAAATATGTCTGTATGTTTTATAGAAATATATTAGTAATGTTCAGAAGTAATGGTACTACGCTTATCATGTCTTATAGAGGCTTATTATTTTTACATTTTTCATGTTTTTAAATTTAGGACATTCTTTAACAAGCAATTGAAAGCAGTTGAAGCTGAGCTAAATGCACTAAATTGATGATTTCCTCAGTAGAATTTTATTTTCTTCATAACGTCTTAAATCTGTAAAATACCACTTACTTTTAGGATTTTTTTTTGCCAGTAGAGAGAGTAATTTGTGCATAGATTTTTTGGGTTTGAGTTTGTTTGTTCTGTAGTGAGAAAATCTCACTACAAAAGTCTTCCTTGGTATTTACTTGTGCCTGGAACTCTTTAATACTAACTCGGCGAAGTTATTGTATGTATTTAAAGAAATATGCAGTTCTTGGGTACTGAATATCACTTCTGGGATACTGTAATGCAAGAACTGTGTAAGTAAGCAATAAGAAAAGAAATAATAAGAACATGGGACGAGAAATAATTTATTTAGCTATTTAGCTGCGGATATTAAAAAAAAATAAAAATCTAGTGTTAATGTTGCTGGAATAAAATATTTTTCAAGTCCATTTGGGGATTTTTTTTTCCATTACATTTTAATTTGTATGTTCGATTCTAATTCTATCTAGTGTAGAGAAACTGATACTTTCCATTGTAAAAAACTTTTTACTGCTTCAGTTTCAACTAAAAGCTTGCTTGCAAATGAGTTATTAATGCTACATTTTAAATTTTAATTTTAAATTTATGAATTCAGTCTTTTTTAATAACTTGGACTTTTTTCCCTTTTTTTTTTTTTTTACTCCCCAATTCATGTTTTTTTTTAAATATTTAAAATATTGGCGAGATTGTAGACTTTCTGTCAGGAATTTGATTTACTCACTGCATTTATGCATGCTCAGTGCTGCTGCTGCGCAGCACAGCTGAGTTTACAGGACAATTCCTACTTTCATTTCCCGAGAACAGAGAGGAAAATGAGCAAACCTATGGCTGGACACAGTGAAAGCAGTCAGTTTCTTGGAATTAATGGAAGTTTGTAGCAGATAGGAGGGATGAAAGGGGTAGAAGACCAGGGATTTATGTCAGGGGGGTGGGGGCTGGTGAAGATGCAGCTTAGAATGAAGGGGCGTGTTGTGAGGGGAACAGGGATTAAAGTACACAACTGAAGAGCAGACACCAAAGCCAGTAGCAGAAGGAGAAAGAAGATGGGTGATGGCAACAGGATGGATGGGGAGGAACAGCATGAGAGGGTAAGCAAATGGACAAGGGAAGATGAGCATGTGGGAGCCAAAACAAAAGTTAGAGAGGATCTTGCTGCAGCAAAAACTGTGGAGGATACTAGGTACAGGAAGGAACCAGAGGAGGGATAGTAGGGAAACTTCAAGGTAAGAAGGAAGAAAGAAAAAGAGAGCTGGGAGCAAAAAAATCTCTGAGAACTAAGGGATTCATTTCTGCCTGCTGGGGTTGGGTTTATTCCTGCCTGAGCATTTCTCTACTGTAGAGAAAATAACTGTGAATCTTGGAGGCAAAGAGTTTAGGCCAGTGTATGCAAAAGGGAATTGCTTTTTACTGAAAATTGGAGTCCATTGCTGAAAATTGGAGAGCTCTGTGCCACAGGTCCCAGCTCGCTGACGCAGCTTAGGATGGCAGTCTGGCTTCATCATTTTGTTGTTCTTGCTATAGTTCTGAAGTCTTTTTAAAGGTGCAAGAAACAACCCTAAAAATAGAAATGCAAGATCTCAAATGTGAAGTTAAGCCCTCAAAATTCCAGAACTGCAGTATCTAATGCCTTGTGTGGTTATACATATGGTAATAATAAGCTCTTTAAAAGTAGCTCGTGAATATGATCACATAGTTGATATGGTACTAAATTTTTTATGTATTATAAATGATTATATAACTTGTATTTCATAATGAGCATCTAAGTATTTGTATAAAAACAGAGTCAGAAAAGTAATAAACCCTTTGTGTAAATGCATAGGTTTTTCTTTCTAGAAGCCTGCTTTCTTTGGACATTTGTTGAATGCCTGTGTGCTGGTAAAAGAACTTGTCTAACAGTAATGTTATGGAGATGTGTTTCATAAAATCAGGTAGTGAAGATGTATTGTTGTAATGTATTGTACGTAATAAATAAAATTTGTTTTCTGAAGATGAAGAGCGTGGCGAAATTACAAAGGGTATCTGAAATAAATAACTGACCTTACTGAAATTAGGGATTTTACCCATTGGCTATTAAATGATCAACGTAGAGCTTGTGGCCATCATAAGAGCTGTTCTGTGATTTTTTTTTTCTGTAATTTTTCAAATGACCGAGGTTCTTTCCCATAATGAAGCTAAAAAATGTCTGAAATGCAGGTATAGATAGAAAACTCAATGAGAAGTAACTGTTTCTTTCAGGCACTGAAATTAGCCTCTAGCTTGAAAGTTTAAGTTTTAGGTTGTTAGAGTTTTTGTTTGCTTATTTTTTAAAAGGCTCTGTAAGTTAAATGTCAGAATTGTCTACTTTATCTTTCCTTGGGTAAAAACTTTCAAAAATAGCTCTTTGATTATTTAAGACTGAACTTCTATACAGCACTGTTACTGAAAAAGATATTTGAAAGGAGCTGTCATTTTCAGTCCTAATGATGCAACTGCGTTTTGCTAATATACCATAGTAACACCCTAAGGGATGAAATAGTGCCACTGTTCAGAGCTCACATTTAAAATTAGCATTAGGAAAGAAATGCATTAGAAGAACAAGTCCAAAGTCCTGTTCTGTATGTTCTGTTCTAGCCAGTATCGTTCTTCAGAGTCCTTCTCAGTACCATTTGCACCCTTTCTTTTTGTAAACAAAATTCTGAATTGCACTGCACGATGGTCTTCTTTCTACAGTTCCTCTTCTTCATTTTCCATCTTTAGGAGTGCAGTTACATCACTGTAGATAACAGCCAGTAGAATTGGTAATTTTTGCTACCAATTCAACCTTCCACTGCTTTTTTGACCAGGTTTTACTCTTGAGGTACATAGTATGAAAGTTTGTCCCAAGCAAAATGAAAGATTGCAAGCTCACAATTGCTGTTGATACTATTTGCTCTTTTTGTGTGGCTGTTTTGCCTGGTAATCTGTGTATTCTCTTCAAGTTCCCATGTCCCTCTCTCTGTACCGGTTGTATTGATCAACTATTTGGCAGATTCAAGAGTGTGGTCTACCATTCTGTCCTTAACTATAGCTAAATGCCTGTTTTGTGAAGTATTCTCTCTAGCATCATCATTAGTTGTGGTCCTATGTGTATTTTATTGGGATGAGGGAGGAGGAGGGCAATGTGTTACCACATCGTGCACTGGGGTCTGTTCTGGGCAGTCTACTGACAAAAAGTGTTGGAGAGCACAACTAGTCCTGAAGTGTGATTAATGAAAAAATAGAGGTCCAAATAATTGTGTTATTATACACTTTTTGTTTTTGTATGGTTAGTGTATATTATTTTCAAACTGAATTTAATTCAAACATTGCAGTTTTTGTATTCACTTCATCAAAATATTGCAAACTGTTAAAATCCATGCATGCAGAAGTGATCACGCATACATTTTCCTCTGTTTGAGAGATTACACATTTCTTTCTATTCATATTCTTCCAGGTGACTTGGATTATTATTGGCTGGATCCTGCCACGTGGCATAGCAGGGAGGCATCTCCTATTAGTTCGGTAAGCAACAAGGAAAAAGAGCGTTGTAAGTATGAACTAAAATGATTGCTGATAATTTCAGTTTGCTATATATTTAGATATTTTTTAAAAAAATTATGTACAATGAGTGTGAAAATTTGGCTTCATCGATCATGGAAATAAAATTCAGAAGAGATTTTTATCAAAATCTCTACTAATTTTTTATAGATTTCAAATCCAATACTAACTGCAAAAGAAGCAGTGAATGTGATACTGCTCCCAGAGAAATTAGTAATATTTTTTTCTATTGAATTAGAATGGGAAAGGATATTATTGTGTAATGAACCTGTATGCTTCGTACAACATGTATGTTATACTACAGAACAGAATTTATAAATATAATTTTCAGGGTCCTGAAATCAATAGCAAATGTCTAATTTTATTAGTAGCATTCTATTTTAAATAATGAAATATATTAAAAATTTAATAGCAATATAAATCTAGGTGCAGACTTACTGCTGAATTTTTTTACACAGTAGTTGCATTTTTTTTTTATTTTCACTGCTTGTTTTTATCAACAGCATCCAGTAACGTGGCAGCCTTCTAAAGAGGGAGATCGCTTAATTGGGCGTGTTATTCTTAACAAGAGAACAACCATGCCAAAAGAATCAGGTGCATTACTGGGGCTAAAAGTAAGTGTTACATGCTTCATGTGTTAAATGAATGACATTTCTGCTGACCTGACTGTTTGGAACCTTAACTAAGTCAGAGAACTCTCCAATTACTCCAATTCATTTAGTTTCCCAAATTACTCATTTTGTACTGGACTTACCAGATTCTTCTCCCTAAGGTGCCAGAACACTTAAAAGGAATCCTTCTGGAGACTACTGGGGAGTACAATGTTCTAGTTCAATAATATGCATATTTTTATTAATATGGAACTCCAAAAATGACTGAGAAAATTAATTTAGGTGTCGTCATCTTTCCACTGAGACCAACAGAAACAGAAAACAAGAAACATAAGAAACATTCCCATTCATTTAGAACTAAGTCAGCTTCTCCTTGTGTGTATAGTTATCTGATATCTCAAGCCCTCACACGTGATCTAGGTTGTTGGCTTACTGTTGTGGGAATTAAATCAGGAAAAGACATTGTGAACTTGGTGATGGCACGTCACTTATTCATCTCAAAGTGAGAGAAAATAAAAGCAGCTTTGTTCTACTAAACATTTTGTAGTCTTTAGCACAAGGCTGGTTTTTGCTGGCAGCAAGCATAATTTTCTTAATATGTGAGAAAAAAGTTTGGAAGCATAGATTGAAGGGCTTCTCTGGTGCTTTTTTCTTTTTCTTTTTTTTTTTTTTTTTTTTGAGTTTGTATGATGTAAACTAAACAGCAGGTAATGCATTCACTGATAAACTTAGCACATTCCCTTTTCGTAACCCTGTTGGTGGGTAAGCTTCTGGGTCTTTTGGGGTATGGATCTATATGAAAACTCTGACTAGTAAACCATGTAGGCAGCATGAAGTAATAACCTAATGAACTACCACTCTACTGTTTCTTTTCATTATAAAACTCATCCTAGAATATTCTTGACAAAAATACTGACTTCAGAGAATGAGATGGGTAGAGAGGATAGCAAGTCAGCAACAATGCTTCTTTTGTTTTATATTTTATCAAAAATTGAATCACCTGAGAGCACATTTTTTTTCCCCCTTTGTTTACCCATTTGTATAACATGCAGACTGCTTCAAAACAAAGCACCATTCAGTTCTGTTTTATAGAAGACAGAAGTTGCTCTTCTGTCCTCTGTTGTGCTTGGATGGGAAGCCAAGTTTTTAACCATAGCAGTGTTTGTGTGAACTATTTGTATGTGTTCCCTATTGGTGTATTAGCTGATTTTTTAGTTGTACCTCTAATGGTGTTTTGGGGATTTTTATACCTTTGGTTTGATGTTCACTTGCAATTTTCACATACATATGATGTATGTTTGTGGCTTGGAAACTTAGCAACTTATGGTTTTCTAGGTTGTTGGGGGGAAAATGACAGAATTAGGACGACTCGGTGCCTTCATTACCAAAGTGAAGAAAGGTAGCTTGGCTGATGTGGTGGGGCATCTCAGAGCAGGTAAATCATTCAGTTACATACAAAATACATTGTTTCTTGACTTTTTGTAATGCATTTGTTAATTTATATTAACATCACTTCTTTGATATGCTAATATATGGTGAATAGATAAAAATACTGTAATGTTCTTATGGAATGCTACAATTTCCTACATTTCTAACTTATTGATGACTACATTTGCTTGAATGTGTGGAAAAAAATACAAGATGCTTCTGGTCTGTGCTGAAGTGCCAGGATTGAATTTAACTGGTATATTTTTGCTTTCGTATCTCAGGTCGTGTTTTTTACACCCTGTAGAAGAAACATAAAAAATTTATGGAAAAAAAAAAAGAAAAAAAAGAAAAAGAAAAACAGCTCTATAAAATGATTCTAAAGTATTTAAAGTATTTAATGCACATAATAATTATTTATTGCTCTTACAAGTATATGACTGCACTTTTTACACTTTTATTTTTAAATGAAATATGAAAAATGAATTTTGATCAGTTTTCTAAGCATCTTCTTGATGGTTTTTTATTCTTATCATAGCCATAAACAGCTATTTTGGAAGTGTCTTAGGAACAAAAGTTTAAGCAGTGCCTCCGTTGGAATCCAGAAACTCAGATGAGAACTTTTATGAATTTTTGATGATTACATTAACCAAATAGTAATAACGAAATAAGAAAGACGATGAGTCTCTAAAAGTATCCTACTTTTGGCATGTTACTTTTTCTTTCAATTTGATAAACAAGTTGTTATTAGCACCCCTTATTATAGATTTTAAGTGCAAAATGTAATTACTGAAAATTACTTTCTCTCACTTCACTAATCCTGATGTGTCTGAGCTGAAATATTACACAGTCAAATTAATTTTTAAATTCTGAAAAATAATTTTAGAGGCAAAGTCATTTCAGAGGACCAGCTAAGCAGAATTCTGTGCATGTTTTCGGAGTGAAAGTCTATTCATGCTATTGTTCAGGGCTAGAACACAAAAGAAACAATACAAATGAGTCAGGAAAGCACAATTTTTCAACTTTCTCAAAACCCTCTCAAAATTTGGCTAGTTCATAAACTTCTAAGTAATTGTACAAACCTGATAAATTTTGCCAAAGTCTTCCATCAGTAGCAGAATAATCCTTAGTGACAATAAGCAGTAAGGGAAATCTAGCCAGAAAAGCAAGAAAACTAGGCAGAAAAGCATCTGGAGGAGAAGAAAAGAATATGAGAGGATCTAATTCCTGTTTTTACCTGGCTGTTGAGAGATTCTACAGGGAGCCCAGAGCACACTGTGTTCTCAGGGGGTACACAGTGATCACATGAAGAAACTATTTGGAATGAGACAGGTTTAAGTTGTGAAAGCTCTGATTCTTTGTGAGGAAAGATTCTGGAGCAGCTTGTATGGAAAAGCTTTCTGCATATGCTTCCTTGGAGATTCTCAAATTTCAGCTGGTCAAGTCCCTTAGCAGCCAGCTTTGTCCTTTGAATTTGGCCCTACTTTGAACAGAAGTTGGGACTGATTGGCTTCCAAAAGTGTCTTCCAATCTGAGTTACTATTTTAGAATTCAGTACAAAATAATTCAGAGCTTGGCAGTCTGAGTCTGAAAATCTTGTGTCTCTGCATCAATAAGTGGGGATAGAATGCAAGACACACTAAAATTGGTTTCTAGGGGCATCTTAGGTATCCTAGTGTAAACTTGCAGAAGTGATTCCCTATCCCAGGGAATAGAGTAGGTTCTGCTAGCCAGCTTTGTGCAGATATCTTGGTTTATCCTAAGTATCTGCAGTTTGAAGTATCTAACAGTTCCTCGCCTGAGTGACTTAGTATTTTTGGCAACTACAATTGGACTTAAGTCCAAAAAGCTTAAGACCATCCTAATTTGTTACATTGGATCACAGGATGGACCTCTTGAGATTGCTGGCCCAATCCCTTGCTCAAGTAGGACCAGCTAGAGCATGTTGCCCAGGACTGTGTCCAACTAGCTATTTCATGTGTCCAAGTTTTGAGTACGTGACCAATTAGTTCCTATGTAAATTATGTTTCAATCACATAATTTTTAGTGTTGCAAATCTATCATCGTTCCATATTGTTTTTGCTATTAAGTTGCTACTATTGCAAAGTTGGCCAGACCTTGTTCTTTTGAATTCCTGAGATGCCTTTGGAAATAAAGCAAATTATCTACAAATAA